TGCAGTATGAATTACAATCCACACCATCAGTTGGATTTTTTTTTTATATACTAAAGTAAAATTAGAATACTACTTAAGTAGGCTAACAGTGATATAAACAAAACATATTTAAAGTAGTTGAAGTAAAACTTTCAAGAATCATCTGTATAAATGATATCATAGTATAATACTTATGAATTTATTGATTCATACATTTAAAGCTGCAGCTGTTGTTGACCTGTTGTTACACCATATATGGCTAGATTTCTTGATATATCAGCGAAATAAAACACATCTACAGCTTTAAAATAAATGGGGTGGAGCCGAAACTACAATAATTGCATCCATCATGTAGCGGAGTAAAAACAGGAAGCAGTATAACACCAAGGGGAGTATTACTTTTTTTCAATAGGATATCAGCTTCTATGAAAACATGATTTGTGGTCATTAAAAAATATGAAATTTAAACTTATGTTGCTAATTTATTTTTCTTAATTAATATTAAGAGAAATGCAATTTTGTTTGATATAATCGTTCAGCTGCTTATCACAAACATCTAATCAGCCACACGACATGACAGTAACTCGGTGCTTTTAGACATGGTCAAGAAAACCTGCTAGTAGCAACTGATTATCATTTAAACACCACAGTCTATCTGAGTATTGTTGGTGAACATGGCCATTCTTTTATGACCACGGTGTACCCATCTTTTGCTTATCTGCTTCCAGCAGAATAACGCACCATGTCACAAAGGTTTCTTGAACACAGCAGTGAGTTCGCTGTACTCAAATAGCCTCTGCAGTCACCAGATCTCAGTCTAATAGACCACCTTTGGGATTTAGTGGATATTAAGATGTGTATCTTGTGCAGATGACTGTAAATTTAACGGTGTGCTGCTATCATGTTAGTATGGCTCAAAAAGGAATATTTTCTAGCACCTTGCTAAATTTGTGCCAAGAGGCATCAAGGCAGTTATGAAGAGAAAAGCGAGTCCAACTCAGTACTAGCACGGAGTACTTTACAAAGGAGCTGGTGAGTGTATTTAAAATTTGGTGTTGTTGTTTGGGTTTAAAAAAACAAACAGGTTTTTGCAAAAGTACAATATCAGGTCTCTTTCAGATTCCAGCCACATTCTGGGCCATAAACATGAGAAAAACACAGCTTCAGTTGCCAGAGATACAAAGTGATTACTGAGGGTCATGAGAATATAATCTGGATTTTATGTCGTCTTGTTGCTTCCAGCTCTAGAGGGAGTCTTTCCTTTGATTCTGCTAAAATACCTGGAGCTGGAGGATCCATTTGTGTGTCTGTTTAAAAAAAAAAGTTTAAGGAATTTATGCCCTAAACACATGTTTACATGGAAGTGTAGATTCCTTATCTGTAGTCCTAATCTGACAGAGATGGGT